TGTCTCTCTCTGTCTGGCGAGCGCACGCGCCCTATAGCAAAAACCTCTCCAAAAAAAAAAAAAGGCAAGAATTACATCAAACACACACATGCATACATACATACACATGCACACATCCCCCTCACATGCATACATACATACACACGCACACATCCCCCTCATACACTTCCTATCTCAGAACTACTTAGCACACAACAGGCTTCAAATAAATGTCTGAACTGTGATTTCAATTGTTTAACTGGCTTCCTATGTTATTTTCCCCTTCTATTTACTCTTTTAACAATAAACTAGGTAAGTCTCCAATGAAACCTTATAATTGTAATGGACTGGAGTCTTCCATCACCATCAGGAATAAAATGTGAGTACCAATAGCATATAAAAGACCCAATGGCAGTGCTAGTATGATATATATTCAATAGGTTTTAGCCCTCAGTAGTATTTTCATATGTGTATTTTAAAACAAATATATAAATAACATAAAACTAACTGGAGTTTTTTTGGGGGTTTTTTGTTTGTTTTTGTTTTTGTTCTTTTTTTTTTTTTAGTTCAAAGATCTTTTTTAAATTTTTTTTTTATTGCTAGGGGGTAAATATGCTGGCCAGAGAAAGAAAGAAAGCACCTTCCAGTGGGTTGTGGTAAGGCCACAATCCTCTTTCTTCATCCCTCCCTCCCTTAGGATTTCCTTCTTCCTCTACTTCTCCCTCCCAGCAGGATTTTGGGCACACAGGCACATGTGCTCTGCATGTTTTTCAAGCTGCTCAGAGGCAGGGACCACAAACGTGGTTGTCCACACAGGCTCTGGTTCCCTATACACAGCTCTTGACCACTGAGCTACAAAACTGATCCAATCTGAAGATCTCAATTGACTTTACTTGTGATTTGAGAATCAGGCAACAATTCATTCCATAAAGCAGAACAAGTGTTCCCTAACTTGGAATTTTTTTTAACCTGATAATTATCGGATAACTCACTAATATATATGTTATAAACTTTTTCAGAGGGATCAGGTACTTCCTAGAGAAAGCAGAGAGAGAAATAGAGAGAAGGAAAGTGAGGAAGCAACCCCCCCCCCCATATAGGAGAGGGTCATGCCGTAATCTCGTCTCTATTTCTTCCTCTTTGTGGGATTTTGGTCAAGCACACACATGCACCCAGTGTGATTTTTAAGCCACTAGGGCTGGGATTCAAACTGCCAAGATGGCCATGTGGGATCTGGCTCCCTTAATCACCAGGCCAAGGGGTTGGCCCCATCACTGACATATTTTCATAGTAAATAATAAAATACTGATGATTATTATTCAGGTCTAAGTAACTTATAAATATCCATAGATATTAAACTATTTTCCTCTATAATTGTATTATTTAAGAGCCTTCTTTATATAACCCCTCATGAGATAAATGAGAAGAGTTACAAAACAGAGATAGTATTTTAACTTTTGAATATTACATATCAACTCACATGTTCCTCCTTTAAAATTATTTTGAGAACTCACGATGTGCAACCTAAACCTACTGCGATGCCTCTTAGATGATTCAGAGTTGGACAGAGAACCCACTCTTAAGTCGGTAGTAGAGGAAAGACACCATGATCATGCAGGAATACAAAGACTCAGGGCAGAGCTGAGTGTCAGAAGAGATGGATGGCCAGTGCCCCAGGTATTTAAAGGCAGAGGGAGAATCAGAAAATGATCAAGAGCAGGCTGTATCGGAGCATAGATTGTAACAAACGCAGCAGATATTTAGAGGAAAGGTGGTGGAATATGGTGGCGGGGGAGGGGTGGTGAACTCAGGCTGAGAGAGAATCTTGAGCAAACACACGGAGGAGAGACAGCTTGGAGCACATTAGGAAAACTGCACAAGCCCAGTTGGCACGTGAAAGAGAAATAAGTTGAGGCCATAGTGTCTTGTACCTTTCATAGACATATAACCTGCTTCCAGCTCAATAGGAAAAGGCCAAGGGTGGGGAATACTGCTGAAGCAGCAGAGTGTTATCATAAAACATTTATTTGAACAAATTCCCTGGCAGCTCAGTTGACAATTGAGGGTGGCATACAGCCAGAAGACTAAGCAGCCATCAACAGGATTCTGCAGGAAGCAAGCAATGGTAGGTTTGGAAAGGGAGAGGGGCGGGCATAGAAGGGAAGGGAATCAGAAAGGAATCCCTCACAGAAATTTAGCAGGTGGGTCTCAAAGAAGGATGGATGGTCAATGGCTTCAGTGCTATGTGAAAGCTGGGAAGCTGAAGTCTAAAAAATTGACTTTGATCTCCAGATTGGATTTTCATAACCTTCAGAACAGCAGTGCCAAAGAGGAGGAGCAAAAGATAAATTGAACAGGATTAAGGAGTACATAATAGGAAGAGGAGCATAAATAGCAGCAGGTGTATAATTTTTTTTCAAGAAGTGATATATTTGGGAGCTGGACAGTGGTGCAGCAGTAACATCACACTCTGTAAGGCTGATTCCCTTAGGAAGGTTTTCGGTTCATGTCTGGAGACCTTCTTGATCATGCCTGGTACATGTGTGCCAACAATCTAGTTGGCTGAGGCTAGGGATGGGTCCCATTGTGGGGACCCTGTTAGTGGGGCCTGGTTTTCTGTCTTACTTGGAAGGAAGGAAGGAAGGAAGGAAGGAAGGAAGGAAGGAAGGAAGGAAAGAGGAAGTAGTACTGATGTATTAATGCTCCACTGCATTCTCAGGAGAAAGTCAAGGTTTACTTTTTTCTAGGTGGGTATCATTGTTTTATTGTTTTAATAAATAATACTCACTTTTCTTTTTTTCTTTTAATATCATAGTTCTTTTAGGCATTGGTGGGGAATTTTCAAAGCTTTGTTGAGGTATTTTATGGCATTATTTGGGTTTTTTTTAAGAATTATTTAACTTTATTTATTTTTTAATCTGACCAGAGAGGGGCAGAATGTGTGTGAGAGAGAGAGAGAAAGAGAAGAAAGTGATAAAGCAAGCCTCCAGATCCAGGATTCAAACCACAGTTGGCCACATGGGAGGCCAGCACCCTTAACCACCATACCACCTGCTGGCCACTATTTGATTTTTTTTAACATTTGCTAATTTATTTCTTCCATCAGACAGACAGAAAGAAATAGACAACCATGCCTGTCATGCTCAGGGAGGTCCTGGGTCATGAACCCAAGACTTTCCCATGTGTGACAAGTTGCATTATGCTGCACCACCACCTAGCCCCAACCTTATTCAGTCCTCAGAAAGTCCTGACAAGGATCTGTGCTATTCCATGTTGAGTAATCTTAAACTTTCCTGAGAATGCCCAGTTTCCCCTGGCTTTGGCATTTTCTCCCTTGCACCTAATTTCATTATCCTCCAAGCAGTTTAGTTTCAAATATTTCTTGTCTCCGCCTTGGTCACTGTCCCAACAGAGAGGGACCCCATGTGGCCATGGAATGAACACAGTTCAGGTCTGCATTTGACCCCTGGCACCCAGCACATTTAGTAATCCACCTATTGATCCCTTGTCAATTAGGTGGGGTCAGGTAAGAGGTGAGGTCCTTCTGCACATGGCCAAAGACTGACTTTCAGGGCCCTATGACTATTTTTGAGTGGAGAAATACTCTAACAGCTGCATGCTGCCTTCTACTACCTCTACAGCAGAGCCAAGAATAAGCATGGATAGAATATGATCAAAGAATCTTTCCTGTTTTCAAGAAATGCCCATTGTGCAAGCTTCTGGTAGTCTAAAGTTATGTTCTTCCCAGGCTGACTAATTTTTGACAACACAGGAAGCAATTTTATTTTTAACTTAAGGTAGGCAGTGAACTGTTATGTCCATTGCAGGAGGGACGTGGGAAGGCATGTGCTTCTTGTGGAAAGGAGACGCGAGCAGGTCGCTAGGAGATGAGCTTCTCTCCTCCCTCACTTCTCGTGTCAGTCCACTTGAAGGAAAGTAAAGGATTTATTTTTTTCTTTCTTTCTTTCTTTCTTTTTTTTTTTTTTTTGTCAGAGGGCATGTGCACTTGCCAGAGAAAACAGAGGTGGAGTGGAGGAGTGAGAAAGCACCCCTGATAGGATATGGTCACATCAAAATCCGTTCTCTTCTATTTTGCCCTCCTTTTAGGGCATGCACGCACAAGCACCTGACTTATTTCTCAAAGTTTGGAGTCTGGTACTTGAACCGTGTAGTCGACCATATGGGATCCAGTCATCTGAACCATCAGGCCATGGGCTGGCTCCAGTGAACGATGTTTTCCAAGGCTCCACTTCTGTCCAAACAAGCAGAGCAACTGTAATTTATATATTCTTCAGCTATTTCGACTTCAAATTTGTTTCAGTATAATTACTTATTACTCTTCTATTTCTCCCTCCTTTCAGGTTGGTCTCTCTATGTTAAAGCAGAATAGTCAAAATGCTGCACTCTCCAGTGTCTGATGACAACTGTTCCTTCCAGTCCTGTGGAAAGAAAAATAGCTACTTTCCATTATGATCTAATACTGGAAGTTGGGAGTTATGCTTAATCATTCTATGAACAATCATAGAGGATTTACCATGCTCTCAATGCATAAAAACAAAGCAAAATAAACAACAATGATCCTTGTCCTCCTAGCTTTCAGAGTCAAATGGCGATATCATAAATCACCCCATATGGGTCCCTCTCTATTCTAGTATTCATCTAACAGGTGTTCTCATGAACTCCTTTTTTTTTTTTGAGAGAGGTTTTTGCTATAAGGCACGTGCGCTCGCCAGACAGAGAGAGACAGAGAGATAGAAAGCGAGAAATCATCCCCCAGGGGGGATGGTCACGCCGCAATCTCTTCTCTTCCATTCTCCTCTCGGGATCTTGGGCACGCACGCACATGCACCCAGCATGAGTTTTAAGCCACTGGGTCCAGGATGCGAACCGCAGTCGACTACATGGGAGTCCAGCGACATAGCCATTATACTAACTGCTGGTCCCATGAACTCCTTTTTAAAATGAAGCCAAAGAGGAAACAGGAGGATGGCTAACTGATACTAATAAAGATGGAGAGTATGTAATAGAAAAGCACTGGTGGGTGATGCTGAGACCTTTCATCTATTGTTACCAAAGCTATTATGCCATCTGACCATCCATGTAACCTCATGATATTACAGGACATTTATTATAATTCTATTTTACAGAGTAGAAAACTGGGGTTCAGTTGCTCAAGATCTTATAGATAGAATACTAGAACCAGTACTAGAGTGAAGATTCCCTGCAACTTGACATTTCCATCTCACCAACCCAAATACATAAAGAACAAAACAAAACACAATATATTTTTATACAATGGGAGGCATGAGGGGAAACAACTCATGAAGATGTGAAACATCATTTTGATGATTTGATAGAAAACAACCCAGTGAATATTAATAATAAAAATGCTAATTAGAATGCTATTAGCAATCATCGCAACTATCCCAAACTCTAACAATATTTCATGAGCACTCTTGACATGCAAAATGTTCAGCCATGGAGGACACAGTGGTGAGTCACAAAACATGGTGAATCCTGTTTTCCCTCACAGACTGAATCCTGAAGGTAGAAATTTCTTTATATCATGCTGTGATATTGAATGATAATAAGAAATAAATAATGGTCTTTATTTATGCTTCCTGGCTCATAGCTCCTGACACTCATAATTTCCTAAGTGATTAGAGCAGTAAGAGTATCTTTTGTTAAAATATTTGATCTTATGTCCTCAATTTCTGAAACAGCTTGGAACAACTCCAGAGCACTCTAAGTAAAAGTTTCTACTGTTATTTACAATGAGACTCTCTCAACTCGAGTTTATGTTAAGGAGAGAATTTTTACCAAAAATACAAGATGAGGGTATGGGGAGAGGAATGGTTACCAGGAGAACCTACCATGAGATTGGAGGGTTGGAATTTTCATCCCAACTCGCCAACCTCCAGGTAGAAAAGACTGACTGAAGGTTGACTTGATTACCAGTGGTCAGTGATATAATCAACCAAACCCAAAGGATGAATCCTCTAGAAAAACCCAGAAGGACAAAGTTTGGAGCACTTCCAAGTTGCCGAACACATCATGGGCCAGGAGGGTAGCAAACCCCATCTTCTCAGGGACAAAAATCCTATGAGTCCATTCTGAACTTCATCCTATATATATCTCTTCATTTGGCTAGTCATTTGTGTCCTTTAAAATACCCTTTGTAATAAATTGGCAGTAGCAAGTAAACTATCTCCTTGAGTTCTGTGAACCACTCTAGCAAATGGCAAAACCTGAGGCGGGGGGGCGGTAGTGGGAACCCCCAATGTACAGCTAGTCAGTGATAAGTTCTGCAGGCTCCAACTTGTGATTGGTATCTGAAGTCAGGGGCTGTGGGCTGTGTTGTGAGATCCTTAACCTATGGGATCTGGTGCTAACTACATAGTATTGCAATTGAATTAAACTGTAGGACATACAACTGGTGTAAAAAAAAAAATGGGTTGATGGAGGAAGAAAAAAATCCTGCATCTGGTCACAGAAGCAGTCTGTGCTGGAGTGAGAGAGTGGGAAAGACACTTTGTTTTTTCCTATCTCATACGTGAACATCTCACTGTGCCTAGAACATATGCTTGATGTTTACTTGCTGACTGAGTGACCACTGCAAGGCTTTGTTTTATTAAAGGCATGCAAGTATTAAAGAGAAAGATGGTAAAACAATGTCTTGGTTACAGTAATATACTCAGTAGCATCTCTTCGTTTATAAAATCCTTCTCTTCTCACTCTCCAACTCTGGCACTTAATGACAGGTAGACTCTCGATCCCTAAGCTTATTAACCAGACATAAAAAGTCAAACAGGAAAGGAGAGGGGAAAAGTATGAGTTAATTCCTTTTTATTAATAGGATAAAACTATGGGTGAGCTCTTCAAGACTCAATTTATAAGCCTGATAAAATTGAGCGTACGACGTTTTTGTGTAACATACATAAAGCGAGCACCAGTGCTGAATCCACAGCTGCTGGGTGCTGCCGCTGGGCTTCAATTCCAGCTGGGTCTCTCATCAGCTGTGAGGCCTCAGGCAAGTTAGTTAACCTCTTTGTCTCAGTTTCCTCATCTGTCACATGTAGATGAATAGAATGTGATGACCAAATTCACATTATGGATAAAAGGCTTAAAATAACACCTTGCACATCATGAACTAGGTATGTATTACCTACTAATACAAATATTAGCCACAGAAAAGAGATTTGCCTGATAACGCGTTCAGAACTTTAACAAAGCATAACAATGAGGAAAAGTTAACAATAAGCATTTAAAACTAACAATAAGCATTTAAAATCTAACAATAAGCATTTAAAACAATAATCAAGGGGCCAGCAGATGGTATAATGGTTATGTCCCTGGACTCCCACATAGTTGACCATGATTCAAGTCCTGGACCCAGCAGTTTCAAACTCATGCCAGGCACGTGTGCATGCATGCCCCAAATTATGAGAGAAGAATGGAGAAGAAGGGACTGCAGCATGGCCATCTCCCTGGGTGGGTGATTTCTTGCTTTCTGTCTCTGTCTCTCTTTGTCTTTCTGGTGAGCACATACACTCTATAGCAAAAAATCTCTAATAATAATAATAATAATAATCAAATGGTCATGCTCATGATCTGTGGCAAAGACTAGGATGCACAAAGGATGAAACAGCTGGCAGGGATGGTATTGATCATTTTGCCCAACTCCTTAATGGCATTAAAAGACCGAGGCCAATGAACATCATCATTCTGAGTTTGCTTCAGCAGACATATCAAAGGCTTTTTCTACCTCAAACTCAAATTATTTTTACAGTCCTTCTATTTTGGTAAGACAATGCATCTTACTAAGGGAAGGCCCAACCTGTCCTGGAAAAATCATGACCAATTTAAGACTAAAGCCCAGCTCTTGGGATTCCGAGTATGCTTACCTCACATTATTCACTCTGCACCATGCAGATGACCAGGGAAATGATAGTAAAAATAACAACATATGTGCCAAATGCTTCTCTATGTATTTTATTAAAACAGGGACACTTGGGGCCAGATAGTGTCAGAGCAGTAAAATGCAACGTTCTGTGAGGCTGACCCACATGGGAAGGTTCCCAGTTTGCATCCAGAGAGTTCCCTAACTACTCCAGGCACATACGTGCCCAGAATCCAAGGCTGGATGAGGCTGGGGATGGATTGTGGCATCAAGATCTCATTGGGGTGTTTCTCTCTCACTCAAGAAAATCTAAATAAACTTCAAACTACAGCGAACCATCATTAAATTCTATAAGAAAAGGACATTTTTTCCACATATTACTTACAAAACAGCCTAGGGCTAGACAGAGTTGGCACTGCTTTTAAGATAGCCTTAACTTTCAGGTTTCCTAGCCCTCCACTTCAAAGTCATTCCCAAGTGCTATGAAATTAGCTCATCCTGTCTTTTCATCAGAACTCACTGTCCTTTGTTCCAGTGCTCCAAAGTCTTACTAGGAATTAGTCATAAGCAATACCAAAAAGCTAAGGATAAATACACTGTCAGATATTACCTCCTCTCTCAGTATCTGCATTTAATAGGGACTTGTCTTTTCTTTACTCAAAAGAATAACTAATGTACTCAATTTGGACAGACTCAGTGACCTTCTATACCAGAAGCCTTTTAATTTCTAATACACAGTGTCATTGTATTTTTCTGCTTAGTGAGGCTGGTACTGCTTCTTATCCTGAAGTCACAAATCTTCATGGAGATGATAAGAAAATGATTATAAACTACGGGGGATGTGCATATCCAACTGTCAGTTCTCAGAACCAGGACAGAGTGACAATAAATCTAAAAGCACCTTGATTGACAAGGCTAGTCAGAAGTGCATTACAGAATCACAGCAATAGAGAGTTTCACCCCAGGTCATACCTTAACCTTCCTAGGTAATATTTACAGGTTGAATGGAAATGTCAATGCCTTCTCCCTCAAGAAAGACTTGGAGTGAGCAGGTCAGATTGCTAGTGAGGGGAGGGGTGTTTTTTGAGTGAAATATTTTCATCATTTAGGGCAGAGTATTTCAGTATGTTCAGATCTGAAAAACATACATTTTTTTAAAGCAAACAAAAATAAACTACACTGCTCCCCTCCCAATTTTGACTCCCATGGTTTTTATTATGATGATACAAACACAGAACTAAGCTCTTATAGTTCAGCTACGCTAAGATCATCAAATTCCAACTAAATGTTCTCACTGATATAAATGAAATCGTAAAACCAACTCAATTCAAATCCACAACACTGGCTTAGTACTCAGAAGGATGATGTTCTGCTAAAGGGGCCCTTCTATGTATACTATGTCTCTGACATGGAAAACTGCAATGCTGGTGTGGTGGATTTAGAATCCTCCCACCCCTGGCTTTGCAAAAGGACTCCTGTCCCACATTTCTTCATTCACAACAAAACTGAACACTTACTGGACCAATGGGCTGCCTAGTCA